ACCAGCTGCTCAACCCTGACGCTCTCCCTCGGCCGACCTTCGCGTACCCGCCGCGGCTCCGCGTGGTGAAGACGCTGCCAGGCATGCGGGCCAAGCTGTGGAAGCGGGACCTGCGCCACTACTTTCACCAGCTGGCGATCGGCAAAGCCTGGCGGAAGTACATGGCCCATCCGCCCGTGCCTGACCCGCGCGGAGGGAAGGGGAGGGTGTTCCCGTTCCACCACGCGACGCCGATGGGCTTCGCGCCGTCGGCGGGCTGGGCACAGGCGGCTTCCGACACCGCTTTCCTGAAGGCAGGGCTACCCCAGGAGCGCAGGGTGACGTTTGACCAGCCCTGCCCCACCGAGCTGCCGCTCTGGGGGTCCATCATTGACGACCTCTGGGCGCTGGACGCGCGCTCTGCAGGCGACCGCGCGCGGAGCCAGGCCGACTTCTGGATGACCAAGGCCGAGCGCGCCTGGGACCGCTTGGGAGTTCCTGTGCATCACGGCAAGTCCGTGGACGGCGGCAGCGGCGAGTTCCAGGGCACCGAGGTCCACCCCACGGAGCACTGGCTGGGTACCACTCGCCGCCGCCGCGTGGACCTCTTCGCGGCCACCCTCGCACTTCTGGGCCAGCAGCTGGTCTACCGCAAGGACGTGGAGCGCTTGGTCGGGAAGCACGGTTTCTGCCAGAGTTATCGGCCCTGCTTGCGGTCAAACTTCTCTCAAGTCTATTCTTGGCTGGAGCGCCTACCCTTGCAGGGGCGCAAGCCCGTGGCGTGGTGCCCGTTGGCGTGGCATGAGGTGCTGATGTCGGCTATCCTGCTGCCGTTCGCAGAGCAGGACCTGGATGCGGACTGGTGCCCGCGCGTGGAGTGCACTGATGCCGCGCCAGGAGGGCATGGCCGCGCCTGGGCGACGCTGCCGCTGGAGTCGGTGCAGCACATCGCCAGGTGGGCTGACCATCGGGCGCCCTACACCATGCTCGGTGACGGCTTCGGGGTTGACGTGGACGTCGAGGGGCGCTGCAGCCTGGCCCGTGTCACGCTGCCGCCAGTGGGCCACTGGTTCAAGGTGGGCAGGCCAGGCGGCTATGAGCACATCACGCTTGAGGAGGCGCACGCGAAGCTCTGGGGCATGGAGGCCCGTCTGCATCGGCCCTCTGAGCTGGGGAAGCGAGTACTGCATGCTGGAGACAACGCCCCGTGCGAGGGCGCCTTCATCAAGGGACGCAGTGCCAGCCGCAGGCTCAACCGGCGCTGCCGCCGTGGGGCGGCTATCGAGCTCGCGGGCGGGTTCTCGCACTTCCACTTCTGGATCTCGACAGGCAAGAACCCCGCCGACGAGCCCAGCAGCTGGCACGGGTCACGCCAGGCGCGTGGCGGCGGGCGCAAGCCGCCTCAGCCGCTGCCCCGCCAAGAGGTGATCCCGCTGGCGCCAGCAGGGTGGGCATCTCGCGAGAAGCTCTTCCTGCACTTCTGCTCTGGGCCCAGGCGCGAGGGCGACCTGTGCGAGATGGTCGAGCGGGAGGCGCGCGAGGCTGGCCTGGTGGTGAAGGCGCTGGCCTACGACCCCATGGTCGACCCTGCCCATGACTTGACGTCGCCTGTGCTGGTGCGCGAGCTGAGGGGGCTGTGCAGCAGCGGCGACGTGATGGGCTCCTTCGCAGGGCCGCCTTGCTCGACCGTCAGTCGCGCCAGGCATCACGCCCTGGGCGGCCGCCGCGGCCCGCGCCCTCTGCGCTCTCGGGACCAGCCGCTCTTGCCCTTGCCTGAACTATCGGAGTCCGAGCGCCAGGCGTGTGCGCTGGGAACGCATCTCTTCCTCCTCTGCCTCGAGCTCTTCACCAGAGTCCATATCAGAGGGGGCTGGGCAGGACAGGAGCATCCTCAGGATCCAGGTCGTCATCCTTTCCCGTCTTTTTGGATTGCTCAGGAGGTGGTGGAGTGGATCTCAGAGTTCGGTTTGTACATGGTCTCGTTCGATCAGTGTCGGCATGGATCGTTATCTCAGAAGCCCACGTCCGTTGTCACCAATGACGCCAGAGCCGCCGCTGTCTTGGGACTTCGCTGCAATCATCGACACCGTCACAAGGGTGTGTACGGCCTGGCCCCGAAGGGAGGTTTCGTCACCGCGCAGTTGGCTCGCTACCCTCCGCAGCTGTGTCAGGCTCTGGCTCGCTTGGCGGTCAACGCGCTCGTCGCCCATCAGCAGCACCTCAGCCATGGCCGACGATCCTGGCAGGCGCCGTGGGCGCATCATTACCTTCTTGATGAGCGCGCTCAAGCCAGTGACGACCGACAGGTACGCCGCCGCACTGTGCGATTTCAGCTCTGACCTGGAGGCGCTGGGCTACGGCATCCACGAACTCACTGAGGAAGAGCTCGATTGGTTCCTGGCCGAACGAGTGGTGGATATGTTCGAGGAGTCTGGCGGGGTGGACGGGCTCGGGACTGCCTCAACCCTGCTGGCCGCCTTCGCGAAGGCGAATCCTCGGCACCACTACCGCACGGCCTGGAAGGCGCTGGACGTCTGGCGCACCCGCAGGCCGCCTCTGCAGGCGCCCGCCTTACCAGCGGTGCTGGCGCTGGGCATCGTGAACTGGCTCGTGCTGGCTGGAGAGTGTGGCTGCGCCGCCGCCGTGCTGCTGTGCTTCACTGGGTTGCTGCGAGCGTCCGAGGCGCTCTCCTTAGACGGCGCGACCTGGATCAGGACCGTGACAGGGTACGTCGCGCTGCTCGGCCGCACTAAGAGAGGGGCAGAGCAGAAGGTCCTGTTCGAGGAGCCGTCCACCGTGACCTGGCTGGATCACTACATGCTGCGCTTTCCCGCCAAACCAGGGCAGCGAGTGTGCCCCATCTCGTACCCGCGGCTCCAGCGGTGGCTCCAGAAGGCCGCCGGCGCGCTGGGCTTCGGGGCTGTTCACTGGACTTCTCATGGGCTGCGCCGTGGGGGAGCCACTGAGCTGCTGTCACGGGGCGTGCCGCTAGCGGACATCATGCTTTTCGGTCGCTGGCTCTCAGAAAGGTCTGCTCGTGAGTATCTTCGGCGCGGGGAAGTGAGTCTCACTCGCTTGCGCGTTGACATTGCCAAGTCGTCATGGTCTCTTGCCTACAGGTACTGTGCAGTTGGAGCCCAGGTTTGGGCTGTAGTCTGATTTTCAGTCAGTTTTTTCTTCTCCGATTGTTGTTTCGTAGCTTTCGCTGGATAGGGGAAGGTGGCGAGGCATTGGCCTACGCAGGCCAGCTTGGTGCGATCGTGATCGCACTCCACCTTTGAAAAATAATCTGGTACGCTTCGCGTGCGCCATCCCCTGTGAAGGGTCGGAGAGGTGGTTGTAGGTGACGTTCTGAAATAGATAGAGCTTGCTGGATAGTTTTCGGAATGCCAGGTTTCTCATCCAGCCTCGTCTCGACGTCCGTGCTCCTGGAATTGGCTGCCTTCAATGTTCTGCCAGCCTCTCTTTCAGGATTCACGCTCGTAATCATTCTGGCCCTGCTGCGCTCCCACCCACCCGTGGTGGTCACCGACAACAGTGTGGAGTGCGCGGGGCCTTGCACTGCTCCTTCGACGGCGAGGCATTGGCCTACGCAGGCCAGCTTGGTGCGATCGTGATCGCACTCCACCTTTGAAAAATAATCTGGTACGCTTCGCGTGCGCCATCCCCTGTGAAGGGTCGGAGAGGTGGTTGTAGGTGACGTTCTGATATATATATATATATATATATATATACGTGGCACCCCGCAGATGCGGATCAGAGTGAGGGGGCGGTGGGGACGTCGGCAGTCTGCGAGACTCTGGAGAAGCCTGGCGCATGCGCCAAAGTTTCACAAATTATACAACGAGCCCACCGCAAGCGCCGATCTTTTCGTTAAGCATGGGTAGGTCGCGGGTGGGTAGCAAACGGGTCGCGGGTGGGTCGCGGGTGGGTCGTTGTTGGGTCGCGGGTTGGTCGCGGGTGGGTCGCTGTTGGGTCGCGGGTGGGTCGCGGGTGGGTCGCAGGTGGGTCGCGGGGTGGGTCGCGGGGTGGAACGCAGGTGGGTCGCGGGTGTGTCGCGGTGGGGTCACAGGGTGGGTCGCGGGGTGGGTCGCGGGTGGGTCGCGGGTGGGTCGCGGTGGGGTCACAGGGTGGGTCGCGGGGTGGGTCGCGGGTGGGTCGCGGGGTGGGTCGTTGGGTGGGTCGCAAGTGGGTCGCGGGTGGGTCGCGGGGTGGGTCGCGGTGGGGTCACGGGGTGGGTCGCGGGTGGGCCGTGGGGTGGGTCGCGGGGTGGGTCGCGGGTGGGTCGCGGGTGGGTCGCGGGTGGGGTCGCGGATGGGTCGCGGGGTGGGTCGCGGGTTGGTCGCGGGGTGGGTCGCGGGGTGGGTCGCAAGTGGGCCGCGGGTGGTTCGTGGGTGGGACGACGACAGTTTGTACCTTTTGCTCATTTTTCTCCCCCTCTTGTCCTCCTCTTCCTCCTGCCCGTCCAACTCCGCTTCTCTTCCTCCTAATATTCCTTTTCCTCCTCCTCCCCCTCCTTTTCGGGCCATGCGACGCCGAGGTCATAGGCGTTGCTCATCTCACCAACCACCAGCGCGAAAGGCTACAGAGGCTCAAACGAGCCCCCCCCCCGTGAAGGGGCTGTGCAAGGAACGGGGGTCCTCACCCGGATGGCCAGATTGAATTGTAGCCTCTTGTATGTGTGGCTTACTTGGTCAAACTTTGCGGACGCGTGGTTTGCACACGCGCGTTGCGCCAACCCCCTTCCGTCTCCTCCTCATCTTAGTATATTGGATACGCCCGTTTTGATACGCAACACGTACCGTGCTTAAAACGTATGTGTCAATACGTTGCGTGTTGGCTTAGTTTAGTGGCCCACGTGTTGGGGACATATCGCGTCAGACCTACTTGTTCGGTTTACGTTCTGAGTTCCGTATCAATGCGCTACGTGTTGCGTGTTGTTTATCGGGGCAGCTAAGCTCATCATCTTCTGCTTCCTCCTCCTCCTCCTTTTCCTCTTCTTCCAGCCACCCGCCGCGGAGGTCAAGGTCGGCGAGCAGGCCGAGAGTCGAGGGAGCTTCTCGGGCAAGAGCAAATTCCAGTGGTGACGAAAAAATGCCACTCTGCCACCAGCTGCGGAGGACGGGACAGCTAAGAGGAGGAACAGGTAGCGATCCCAGTTCCCTTCGCTCGTTTTCGCTTGTTTACGCCTCCTGGGCGACCCTCGTCGCCATGGTTGGATTCGCATCAAAATTCTGGTCAGAACGTGTTCGAGGTTACACGTCTGGACCCGGACGAAGTGGTACTAAGCATGGGCAGGGACGACATGTGATTCGGTGATGTGTGCCGCGTGCGCGCGGTCGAGCAAATCCTAAACGAGTGCTTTCACAGGTTGGTACCACTCGTGCTCCAGTGTTACTGCGTCATGCAAGCTCAAACATACAGCACAACAAAAAAAATCGCGCGAGACTCAAGGCCACTGGAGCCTGGGGGAACGCAAGGAAGGCTCGAGTAGGGGATCGACTTCATAATGAATGGGCTTCCTCCAAGATTTAGTTGTTCGTCGAGCCCACGGGAAAATCGTAAACTGGGCGCCGGCGGTAAACCGTCAACCTTTGTTACCGCCGGGGGACTCGTAGAGCTTCCTGACAACATATAATATAGAAAAAAATACACAGAAAAAATAGTTGTTCAGCCCAAGCAATTTCAAACCTCTCGGATGCAACAGCCGAACGCCCCCGATGCTTCTGGATTCTCTTCTGTGCGAGCTCTGTAGCTCTCCTACAGCCCGAGTTACGTGCGAAAATCGACAGCACCTCTCAAGATGACTCGAATAATACGAATTGTTTGGCAAGCCTAGCTCGAGTGTCAGACCGAGTTCAGACCTCTGCATGCGACAGGTGGACGCGTCTGATGTCTGCGAATCGACTCCTGTGATTACCAGCCCAACAGCCCCCCCTACAGCCCGAGTTAAGTGCAGGAAACCGACAGCACCTGTCAGGATGACTCGAACAATGCGAATATTTTCGCAGACCTAGTTCGGGCAGCAGACAGAGTTCGAAGCTCTGGATTCGAAAGGCGGACGCGCCTGATGTCTCCGAATCGATTCTAGTGATTACCAGCCATGCAGCTGCCCTACAGCCCGAGTTAAGTGCAGAGAACCAACAGCATCTCTCAAGATAACTCGAACAATACGAATAGTTTTTGCGATTCTAGATCACGGGAAAATCGTAAACTTCTCGCAAATCCTCCAACTTTGTACATGCGACAGCAACGTCATTGTCCGATAAATCGTCGTTAATATGAATTTTGTAGAATGGTTGTCAAATTTCTTCGAAACCAGACGTCGGCACTAATGAATACCGAAACCGACATAGACAAATACGGAAAATGTGAAAACGGAAATGGATAAAGGTAATTACGGAAACCGGCTTGGGTAGAAAAGGTAACCTTACAAACGGAAACCGGGCATCGGTGGATACGGAAACCACGGAAACGGAAAACGTAGAAACGGAAATTTGTGTCGGTTTATACGGAAAATGTCGCGGTTCTCCGAAACCATGGGGGGAAATCTCCGAAACTACGGTGCGTTGTCTCCGAAGACACGGGGCGCAGTCTCCGAAACCACGAGGCGCAATCTCCAAAACCACGGGGTGCAGTCTTCGAAAACTACGGGTGTCAGTCTTTGAAGCAGTCGTCAACGTTGTGATCAAATGCTGCGTCGTTGCCGCTCTTGTTGTTCTTATCACCGCAATATTAGCTGTGATGCCAGCGGTGTTGCACGGGTGTTTTGGCCCCCTCCCGTTTTCCTTGATGGCCCCATCGCCCATACATTTCCGAGCCCAGGTATTGTAACGATACCACTGCGTGGTATGTGTCACTATTCTTCCGCTCTACGGATTTCAGTTGAGCCACAGTACGATTGCTAGTCTTTGATTTGGCTGCCCCCCTTCTTTGGATAGGCATCACGATTGTGACGTCACACAGGAGTGGTAGCCCGCGCCCGACATTCACGCCAGGAACGAGTAGATAGATCCAGCCGCCGTATGTCCCCTGCTGGAATTTGAGTATGGGTGGTGTCGAATGTCCTTTCAATGTTTCAGCAATTAGTTTTTGCCTCCATCATCCATGTATGCCGGGCGTCCAGTATAGTATGCTGATGCTTAATCGCTCAATCAGCATCGCATTGCGCACGACATAATATCATTATCCCATATGAGCCCGTTTGTGATAGGATTACATCGGGCCTGTCCCTTTACAAAGGGATTTTGAATGAAAGATTAAAAAATGCTCCAAACATAGTATGGGGACTATTTCTTGAATATGTTTTTCCCTTTTCGCTGTATTGTTCGAGATTTTTTTTCGTCGAAAATACCCATGTACGGGGACATGCCCGTCATAATGGTAGAACTCATTGTTAACCATAATGCTAAGTAAACTCCATGCAAAACCGTACACGATTTTTCTAATTCTACCTGCACTAACCCGCGTTATGGGCCCGCTTCCCAGAATGCTGATTAATTGGCCGTTTTTGTTTTGGAATCGCCCGGAATATGCATGGAATTGCCGCTCCTTGGGAGCTGGGGGATCTTCTGGTGGAGGTAGTGGTGCGCTGTCGACTGCCAAATCTCGCCAGAGTAGGCGATCGTTCCACATGATGGTGTCGCAGCCCCGATCTGCTATTTCCTTTACGCGCAAGCATTTTGGTTGTGCTCTTGGCGCCGGGAGGTCAGCAGAGTTGTAAAAAATTGACAAATGAAATAACATGTCCGTTCCGATCCAAGTAATATAATGAATATCGCGGAAATTTTCATCCTAATTATCGCGATCTTCGATGCTGGAAAAAATTGAATGCGGTGATGATATTAGCATTGTGAGTTTCAAAGGCAATTATGATTTCATGGGGCAGGGTTGTGCGGAGCATAGGATTCAATTACGGCATTTTGATTGTGAGGGCGAAAGCGATACGTGAAAACCAATGGAATATGGAAGATTGGCGACGCTTGCAATAAGCTTATTACCAAAACCTCTCGGGCTTGTAAATAAAAACCCTCAGGCTCCTTACCGAAACCCTAAGGTCTGATACGGGTCAGGGGAATATCCGCTGGAGACATTTTCCCACGATCAGAGACTTTAGCGGGACAATTCGGTGCCGCTTTGCAGAGGAGAATTTGGCCTATTAATTTTGAGTTTGCAATGTTAGTGGCATTGATGCGGCAATCCATTTCTTGCGTTACTTGTCGGAAGCAAATCCGCACGAGGTTATAATGAGTATTGATGGTGTGAGAGCGTTTGATCATGTCAGCCGAACCAAGATGTTCGAGCAATTCAATACACCAACGTTACACGTCACATTCATTATTATCTTTTGTTCGATAATGATACGGCTCACAATCAAAATTATTATGGGGGGCAATAAGGGAACAGCTTATTTAGTCTTGCAAGGGGACGGCAGAGAACAGGGCGACGCACTCATGACAACATTATTATGCATAATGTTCCACGCCGTTTTATGCCAAATACGAGACAATTTACCACCAAGTGCTGTATTGCTGACTTAAACGATATCTACGTGATTTGTACCCCGTAGGATGTCACACCTGTACTACACGGCATTATTGAAGAATTATTGCGTACATTTCGTATCGACATCAATATGGGGAAAATGATTGGTTGTGGGGGTACGCCAAACCCGTGCCCAGAAATGTTGGTAGTTGATCAGAGCATTTTACGAACAGGGCATCAAGTTTTTGGTGGTTCTTTAGAGAGTCAAGAGTACGTTACTGGTACATTCCGAGCCAAACTGGACGCAAACAAAACGAAATTGTTTGAATATTTACCGAAGGTCATTAATCGGTTTTGTATTACTGCGCCGTAGCACGAGTTAATCACGTACGCACCAAGACCCCCCAAAATGATACACGCCCTCACAAAGGCATACGATACCGCAACAGCTTCAAAGTCATCTTCAACATTCCAGCTAGCAACACTTGGGATGTCGACTTGCACGGAACAATTTACGACAATTTGGTATTGCAAGCTACGTTGCCATTACGATTGTCAGACATGGGTTTGCGGAGTGCACGTTACGGAAGTTGTTCGACATATTGGGCTAATTGGGTGGATGTGTTATTTGAAGTTCTCCGTAGGTTTCGTGATATTGGCAACGAAATTTTGCATTCGCTTACGCGGTTACACGACACCGCGCGAGTGCAATCTTTGGTGGGGCCATCATTTTTGCGAAATGCACAGGTGCGAGGCATCACTGTGCAGCATGGACCGTCTCACCTGGAAAGATCTAACGCTCGGGATGCGACCGCCGCAGCTTGAAGAACAAACATGCTATTAAGAGAATTCCAACACGGATGGCAAGAATACGCATCACGACCACTGGAAATAACAAAAATTACAAGTAGGCACTTTCGGTAATTTTGCGATCTACAACTGCGTGGATGCGTGAATTCATGGCCCTTATGGGGCCTAGATAGGCGCAGGCGGCCACGCTTCGCATTTTTTGGTGCGGTGCTTGGCTCGGGGACTCACGCCCCCGCGCTGCCAATGGGCCTATTGGTCACCCCGTTTGGGGGCGGTTCGATGGGTTTCATGGCTCTCCCATTTGGTGGGTTTAGGGCCTGCATTTTTGGCTTCCCAGTCCGCCCTGCACCAAGTTTTTGGTTTGCTCGGGCATCACCCCCCTTCCCACTTCGCGGGTTCAAGGCGGATGCACTTTTAGCTAGCAGTGCAGCTCTATACCAATTTGTGGTTCGCTTCGGCTCCATACTCCCTCCCACTTCATGGGTGTAGGGTTGCATGCCGGGCTTTCAAGTGCCCTCCAGCATAACACATGGCAAGGGCATACGAACAACGCTCGTTTTCTGCTTCGCCCGCCCGCCCACCGCCATTCCGTCTCAGACCCGCTCTCCCGAGGTGTTCACCAGCACGGAGTGTTAGGGGGGTGTTTCTGTATCTCTTCCTCTTTGAGGTCTGAGATGTTGGTTGCCCCCTCGATGCTGGGGTAAAGCATCCTTTGCGTCGCAGCGTAGATCCGCAGCACTTGGACAAATACTACGTGATCCAGTGCCAGCTGGAGCCCGGCGTAACGCAGTGA